GCTCGGCGACATCTTCGTCAACGAAAGGGTCCGGCACTTAGCTGCTGCGCACCCACTGAATCGCAGCGCCTGCCAACCACCGCTGTAGCACACGGCTTTGTGATGTGGTGGCCGAGACGCGTCTGCTAAGAAGAGCCGTTCTGCCGATAAAATCCTCTGATTGACTACAGCTGACTGCCAAAGGATTAAAGGATGGTGTCTGATCTCTGGATGCCTCTAGCATCTGTATGACCAGATGGTGAAAGGTGTGTACCTTGGGCCGGAAGGGCCACAAAGGCTTGCGGAGTGCAAGAGCTAGTGAAGCTAGCTTGTGGAAGCATTGCAAAAACAGCGATCCGTCTCTTGCAATCGAAGCCGCGGTAGCCGGCTCCTGGTTTTGTGTTGGCATGTGTGGGAGAATCCCTTGAGAATCTTGTTTGAATCAGTTTGTGTCTCAAAAAAAAAGAAGGATGGCACAGCTTAACAGTCGAAGTAGGTTTCTTAAGTTATACAGCACCATCAGGTTTAGCTTCTAGCCTAGGAAAACATGATGCCACATGCAGCTCGAAATCGATCCACAAGTCTGCTTCGTACAGGCCCTTCATGAAGCGGCTGATTGCACAAGCAGCTCGATGGATGTAGTGCAGGATCCTGTCGCCGTTGTCCTTGTGTAGCTCGCAAACATACAGAATGAACTTGGTGATCCGTGCAGTATCAGAAGCCTTTGACCAAGTGCCAGCAGGGAATGCCGAAGTAGCATCGAAGAACTGCAATTTGTCCCGCGTGAAAGCTGTCAGATGCACCGCCTCCTTAAATGTCAGTTTCCATGTCTTGAAGACTTCATTCAACTTCTCGATTTGTGCATCCACGGAATTACCACGAGAGCCTTGGAAACAGGTTGGCAGCATATACACCAGGCACGATGAGCAGAAATCTTGCCCGACCCCAGCCAAATAAACATGAAACAAATCGGCCAAGTAAAATTTGGCAGGTCGATCCAGGTAGGACAGGGAGGGTTTCAGCATCCCCCCTTCGAGTCCAGGTGCCCACGGAGGGTCTGTAAATGTAGGCATCCTCAAAAGCCAAGCCGGTGTGTCGGTATTGATTTGTTCGAAGGGGGTAGTGACATCCCCAGCTGAACACAACCAACAGCATTGTCCAGACCCTTTGCTTGTTGCCGCATATGGAGCCTTGCGCGCTGTTGTAAACCATCGGGTTAAGCGTCCAGCACGTGCTTGCATTTTCAAATCTCCCTTCAACCCAAGTAAGACCAGCCGTAGAACCCGGCCTTTGAAGGAAACCCCCTCGTCGAAGCACTCCTTGAGGTCCTCGGCAAAAACCCGGAGCAATGCCTGAAACGAATCTTCATGATTCTTGTGCCAGGAAGCTGGCATCGCAGCATAGAGGTAATGCGTAGTATAAGAATGGCCCAACAAAGGCAACTGCATCTTGTTGCCACGGGATTTGAAAGCTCGAACAGCTGGGTCCTTGTTGTTCTTTTTCCCCGACCCTGAGCCCATGACAGCCCCCCAATTAAATATCATATACTCACTCTTCTTATAGCCTCTCCCTCCATCAATGTGTGCAACGATCGGTATACAGTCCTCCAGAGGAATGTCATTGTAACGGTGTGAAGAAAAAAGCTCGAAGTCCGGATGTATGGCCTTGTAATTCTCCCAAAAGTCCAAAAGAAGCAGGTGACTGGACTGCACAGTCCTTCCACCCAGCAGCTTGTTCACATGACCGGAATCGGCCATGT